TTCCTCTCCTACCCTTTTTTTTTTCTTCTTCTTCTTCTTTCTTAAATTCCCAAACATATTGTGCTATCCTCCTTCCTTCAATAGCCCTCTAACGTTAGGAGAAAGAAAAAATTGCTGCATAAATTCACTGTTGTTCCTACTTATTTCTTTTATGCTATCAAAGCACACACCATCATACTATAATGGACATTTTCTTTTAAGGAAAATTTAGCCCAAAAGACTCCATTGGACTCTTATTTAGTAAAAATGACAATTCAATTTATTTTGTTTCATAAACTCTTTAAGGAGGAGGTGCATAATTGAATAATGACATAAAAAATTTAAAAAAAAAAATTCTTGGACAATATTGCACATTATTTTATTTTATACAAGTTTAAAAATATTGTGTATATGTATTTTTGGTAGGTTTATCTAATATGTACTATGTTTTTATAGCAGTAAAATTTTATTGTCAACCAGAGTAACATGTTACTGTCAAACAGAGTAATATGTTACTATTTACGTCAATTTCGGTGGTATTTTTTTTATTTTTTATTTTTTAAGAATTTCATAACTAATATGAATCTTGTTTGATAGATCTTGATAAAAAGATTATAAAAATACTAACTTTATTAAAACTAATATCTAGATTAAAAGTTATATTATTTTAAAGTTTAAAATATTAAATTATTCATTAAGTATATTTTGGCAAAAGTGGTATGTGTTGGACTTTGTTGAGCTTTTCAAAAAAAAATATTTGTACTTGTTATTAATGCATTAAAATTTTATTATGAGGAGATTTTAACCAAATTTTCCTTTCTTTAACGGTTTAAATTTAAAATTTTTGGGACAATTGTTTCAAATTTTATTCTATTGCCTTTTGTCTATAAGAATAACAAAAATATGAAAGATTATACTATTCTCATCTATCTGTACAATGTCTCCACCTATCTATCCATTGTTGTTGTTGGCCAAAAACTTTTTCGGGGATGGCTAATCTTCAGTGGCAGTACTGGGCGGTGATTGATAGCAGTGTGTTATAATAGAACAACAATGATTTAGATCATTAAAAAATACACGATTAATAGCACTAATGCATTGGGAATGGTAATAAAAAGAAAAAAAAAAGAAACAAGGCATAGAAAGTGGGCGGGACCCACTGCCACATCATTAGTGGTCCTTTTAGTGCTCCATTTCTAGTGCTCCTAAGCATTTTTCTATAATAAAAAGAGAGTAAGCATGGGAAAAAAAATACAAATTTAAAAATTAAAAAAAAAAAAGTTCTTTAAAGCAATAATTTGTATTTCTCACTGATATATTCCATCAATCACGTTTTTACAATTAAGACAGATAAATCACTGGACTTAGGCCAAGTTTGGGAAGACTAAATAAGTGTATTTTTTGTCTTTTTAGACTAAAAAGTTGAGGTTGAAAATATGAATGTTTGGGTTAACTTTTTGACTTTTTATGGAAAAATGTGTAATAAAAAATTGTAAAAATTAGTTTGTAGGGGAAAATTAGAATTGGAAATTGTGTAGCCGTAATTGTTGACTTTTGGTGAATAGTAATGACTTTTTAACTTTTTGAGTAACTTTTTGACTTTTTGGCTTTTTTTAAACTACCCAAACTTGGCCTTAATGTCATATACCCCGTTTGGAGACTTACCTTTTTAGTCAAAAAGTCAAAAATTTATCTTTTTAGCCAAAAAGCCAACAAATTATACCAAAAAGTCAAAGATTTTCTTTTCTCTCTACTTTTTGCACATCTTTTCGTAATTAGCCAAAAAGTCATCCCAAACATATAAGTTTTTTTTACTTACTTTTTTAGCCAAATAGTCAAAAAGTTACTAAATTAGCTTGTTCCCAAACGAGGAGATTTATCACAATTTTTCCTACTATAATTATATTGGATATATATATTTTTACTAATAAATCTCACCTCACAAACAAGTATTCTAATTAGTCTCAAATTTTTTCTATTAATCTGTTAAGTCCAATTAATGGAGAGTTTCTTTCCGTATGGTCTTATTTTTTATTTTGATAGTGTTTTGGTGGACAGCTATACCCTTTATTAATGTAACATGTATGATGTGATACTCCAATGTGACAAGTATTAATGTGACACTCCAATGATGTGACACTCCAAAAAAATTAAAAATACTTTAGTGTATTTTTCTTAAATGTGATAACGTGGCGGGTATGATATGACACTCCAAAAGTTTTACTTTAAAAAAAATAAAAACTCTTTACAATACTTTTTCCTAATGTGACAACGTGACGAATATGATGTAACACTTAAAAAAAATGATGTAACACTTAAAAAAAATACAGTAAAAACTTTTTAGTGTATTTTTTTTAATGTGACAACGTGACAGATATGATGTGACACTTCAAAAAAAATAAAAACTCTTTATTGTACTTTTCTCAAACGTAACAACGTGGCGGATATGATGTAACACAAAAAAAATTAAAAACTCCTTAATATACTTTTCCCAAACGTGACATGTGATACTCCAACGTGGTAGGTATGATATGACACTCTAAAAAAATAAAAACTCTTTAGTGTAATTTTTCAAAATGTGACACTCTTACGTGACGGATATAATGTGACACTAAAAAACTATTTAGTATACTTTGTCTAAATGTGACACTCAAATGTAGCGGGCAAATGAGTCATTATACATCCAAAATGACTAAATGGATCACAAAAAAAAAAAATACAGGACTTTATAGATTATAAGTTCAAAATATGAGGCTTATTAGTAATTAATCTCCCCAAAAAATAATGAAAGAAACTCGTATTACTATCTATAAGAATTTTAAGTTATTACATATATGTGTAGATTTATGGTTGGTTTGGGGTGTCCTAAAAAAATGCACTTTTTATCTTTTTACGAAAAGATGTGCAGAAAAGTAGAGAGGTGATGTGATGGAAAAAAGATAAAAAAATAAAAAGATGAATTATATAGGTTATGCCAAACAAGACTTTATATTCTTTTCGAGAGAATGGTAAAATTTTAAGCAACGTGTGCCTATGATTTTTATTATTTTATTTTTTTGACACCTGAATGCTTAAGGAATGTGGGTTTTCTAGTGAGATGTCTTGATTCTAAACACAGCCTAATGTTCCCTTTGTTTGAGTGGGACATATATTTTTTAAAAGATATTTTTTGTATTTTGATATTTGACATAATGAAAAATAAAAATTAATAGAAAATATTTTTTATACCACACCACTATCACCATGGACATCGACACCATCATTGTCGTCAAAGATGGTGCCACCTCAGGAGTAGTTGGTCACATGCTCGCCTAATTTTTTTTATTTTTTTTGTACTATTACTGGTATATATAAAAGATTATGCATTATTTATCTATTACAAAATTGTGATAGTATCCCTTCTTAAATCATGTAAAACTTTTTATGTTTTAATTTTTTTAAAAATGCTATATTTTATTCTTTTAGTCACTCTTATACACTCTTAGACCATCTTCAATCATTCATCAAAATTTTCATCTAATTTGATTCTAAATTTGAGTATAAAATTGATTTGATATGAGTTACTTCAATCCTTTCATCAAAATCTTTTAAAAAATTACTTTCTCATCTCAAATTTCACTTTTCATCAATTTTGGTGAAAAAAAATCCTGCTCCAATCCTTCATCTTTTAACGATTTCATCAAACTTAAATGGGAAAAGGATTGTTAGAAATTTGGTGAAAGATTTGGTTCATGCTTGATTTGATGAAAGTTTTGCTTCCCTCTTGATTTGATACAAGTTTGATGAAAGGATTGGATCTCATTTTTACCAACATTTTTATCAAATTTAAATTTGAAAAATGATTTGGTAAATGATTGAAGATGCTCTTATAGGTCAAGTTAAGAATTGAATCAATTGATATTTTTTGTTTTCATTATGAGATTTGTTTAGTTAGTTTTATTTTCCATTGTAGGTTCTTTGTTGAGTTGATTGTGGATTTATAAGTTTTGTTGATACAAGTCTCACGATAATTGTAATATTGTATCTCACCGATTGAAATAAATTTTTATAAAAAAATGTAGAAGTTTAATACTATCTCATGGTTGCTTGTTATGATTAATGTGTACCCTACCTGCTTTGCAATTCTCACTCTGCCACTGACTGTCACTAATACCACTATCGCCACATAACTACCTCTACTTTCACCTTCATCCTATCACCACAACAAAATATAGAAAAATATTCAATTTTGTAAAAAATATTTTTTGCCCACCCAAACTAAGGCTACGCAAGAATCCATCCGACTTACCAAAATGAATGGCCTGAACCAATCCGCAATAGAATAGACAGTTTCAATGGTTTGAACGGACGGATGCGGATGCATTTTTCCTAATCCGTCCAAGTTCAGACAGATAGTAGATAGGGAGCCCACCCCACCCAACTTGATCTACTAACATCCCTAAGAAAATGATATTATACTTTTATGCTTTATATGTTAATAAATGACCTCGTATTTAGTAATTATATTTTTTATTTATGAAATATGAAAAAAAAATTGGAATAATTCAAAAAAAAATGTCCAAAATAGTAAAGCTCAAACCGTTAAACTGATCCGTATGCACCATTCAACTTGCACGACCCGTTTAATCTACATCTGCTAATAAAATGTGTTGGCCTAGGTTAGGGCCAGCATCCTACCATCGTGGAGACCTAGGGTGAGGTCGAGTTAGAGTCGACTTGTAGAACTTAGTGCTATACCCTTTAAAGAAATAAAATTGCGCCTTCATTACTACTAATAGTTTTGGTAATATGTAAGCGCTACGAAACGGATTGATGCAGATTAATTTTTTCTAATTTGCTTAAATTTGGACAAATGACATATAAGAGGTCACCTAACCTAATTTGACCTACAAGCATCCCTAGCCCAAACAAACGAAATGTTAGTGTTAATTGAACAAAATTAAGGGGGACAATATAATTGTTGGAAACTATCTAGGCAGAAGTGTGATTTTGGCTAGATAGAAGCCCTGCTCCAGATGATGAAATGGCAAGTTTGACCAAGGCGTTGGTTGTTATCGTTATATTTTCGTTCGTTCAAATTAGCGGAAAGAGCGTTACTTCAGTTATTACTCTCTCTCTCAAATTGAGAAGAGAGAAAAGGAAGAAAAAAAAAAAAGCAGAGATCAAAATCAATAATGGAGAAAGAAGCAGAGAATGCAGATCAAGAGCATCCAATGGAACCAGACAAAGAGAAAGAGAAAGATCATGGAGAGGAAGATACAGAAAGCGATAATGAAGAGAGAGATGAAGAAGAGAGAGAGTCTCAGAGACTGAGAGATAAAAAGATGGAAAGGAGACTCAGAGCCAAGGAGAGGAGAGAGAAGAGGCGCCAAGTCATCTCTCTCCTCCGCACTATTCCTTATTCCGATCATCAGAGGTATACAAATTTGTTTATTTTATTTTAATTTTCCATTTCTCGATTTAGATGTGTTTGGAATAATCTAAATAATTGTATTTTTTTTAATACAAAAAATGTGTAAAAAAATAAAAAATTGATATAACTAAAAAAATATAAAAAGATTAAAAAAATAGGAAAATATAAGAAATGTTAAATAGTTCCTTACAATCTCATAATTATTTTTACTCCCATAATCTTAATAAGATTTCGATCACTTTACTTTTTCATTAATTGCTCGAGGATCGAGGATATCTAGAATCAGAAAGTCTCTCTGTTGATTTGGATTTGAATTACTATATTAGGTCTTTGTTAAATTTGATAATTTTATCTAAAATTGATAATACTAGTTATTCATTTTAATATTATCCAATTTTATGTGGATATATGTGTGGTGACGATGTGTTTTAATGTGATGATCACCGAGAAACTTGATCTCAGCTCAAGTCAACTAAATTACATAAATGAGCAGAGCTTGCTCGAGCTCTAAAAGACAAAATAAAATTTAAATTAATTTGCATATTAAGAGAAAAAAGAAAAAGAAACTAATAAGTAAAATATAAAAAAAATGCTTATCGTAATAAAAAAATTCATCAATCAAATAGGTAAATTTACATAAACACCAAACACAAATAGAAAAATTAAATAAATTAATAAAAATATAGGAGTATTTAATATATTATTAAAAATAAATATTCATTTTTAAAGTCAGATTTGAATCTACTCGAGTTGGGCTAGATTACTAAGCGAGCATAAAATCAAGAACAAGTTCGTTCATTTAGTAAATAAACTGAGCTCCAAATGAGCTGAGCTAGAGTTTTCGTTTGCAATCACACCTAAAACCTACTACACCCATTTACCAATTTACCAATTGAGCCAACGTCGCAGGGCAGAAGGTACATAACTTTTTTTTATTTAAAATTTGAGTAATTTAAGATTCTTGAAAAACATGAAGTGTTGTAAGTCTTTGCCACCCAAAATCTATAATTGAATGGTTCAATTAGAATAACCTTCTATAATATAGGGTGACATTTGAGGTTTTCAAACTCATATGATCACAACTCAATGTGTAAGAACTAAGAACCTTGGCTAACTATGAACTTCAGTGACCACCACTCTACTTTTATGAGTACCTCAACTGTTAAGGTGTTGCATATGTGTAGACACTCGGTTAATTCCATTTTATTCCTCACATCATCGCTTTTGGAGTGACTTTCCATCATATTATATTTAGGATCATTTTATGCCATGGAGGAAATTATGTCAATTAGCTTTTAGATTCTAATTTTTTGTGATTGCCTTTGCTATAAAAAGACTAATTTGTATTGACTTTGTTCTTGGAAAAGCTTTTGTCCCTTCGTATGATACAATAAGGAGATAGAATGGTGTCACTTTAAGTATCCAAATGCCTCCCTAAGAGTATGCATTGTATATCAAGATTGATAACACTTTTGCTCTTGATTTTTAAACTCACTCGTTTTTTTCTTTTTCCCCAATAAATGGTTGTTCAAGCATAATGTAATATATGGTCTGGAGTTTGTAGGTGGTGGTCGGCAGATACCATTGCCATGGTGACTGGAGCAAACAGAGGGATTGGGTTTGAGATTGCACACCAACTTGCATTGCATGGCTTGACAGTTATTCTGACATCAAGAGATGCTGCTGTTGGTGAAGAAGCAGCAAAGGTCTTACAAGAAGGAGGTTTGAATGTGCATGTCCATCAATTGGATATTGTGGACCCTTCATCAATCCAAGTGTTCACTGAGTGGCTACAACAAAACTATGGTGGTTTAGATATTCTGGTAAAATGTTGATACCATAGTTTCATTCTAAGGTTTAATTGTTATATGTTATTCACAGATAACTCTGCAGTGTGATGTATGTAATTTTTCTAGTCATTCTTCTTTCTTTTCTTTACTTTTTCTTTCTTTCAAAAATAGGTTCAATTCTCTTCAGCTTTGCCAAACAGAAAGCAACTTAGTTTAGTTAAAATTTGTTTAGACATATAAGTTTTTAGACACAAATTTAAGAAGTGATGGCATTGAAAAACACTTGCTTCATAATAATAAATGTAGATCTATTATCTAGAATAGTGCCTGCTATATATATATGAAAATCATTCATGCATATTGGTACCCTTTTTTTGCCTAATAGACCCCTATGGTCATATACCAAGAAGCACATACACATACAAATACACATACATAGACACGTGACATGGCAACAACACGACACTAACACAACAATTTTTAAAAGACACAACATGTGAGAGATACATACAAAATATATGAATTTATATATTTATTATATGTCATATATATCAATGTTTCATTGGAAGTTGATAAAAGTATACAACATAATATGAATTTTTAAAATTTAAGAGAGGATGAATTAATAGATATAGGTCTACATTATTTTTGTTTTATCACTAGATCATAAGTTTTTTTGTTCAATCTTGTAATGTATTTCATATGTATCTAAGTAATGGACACTTGAGTCTCCTAAGTGTTTGAAGAATGTTTAACTCGAAAAAAAATAATAATAATAATAGAGCTTGTTTGGACGTGTGTCAAAAACATGTCAAGAAAGTGTCCGACAAGTGTCAATAAGTGTTTGATGAGTGTCAATGTTAGACATAGACGCGTCACCTTTTTAGAAGTGTTTGTGCTTCTTAGATAATATCTAATGTAGCATAGAAGATAATCAGCATTTAACATATGGCCCCTACAAACTTGTACAGATAAACAATGCTGGTGTTAATTTCAACTATGGATCAGACAATCAACTCGAGTTTGCTGAACAGGTCATAACCACCAACTATTTTGGCACCAAAAATATAATTAAAGCTATGATCCCGTTAATGAGGCCTAATGCTTCAGGTGCTCGTATTGTTAATGTTAGCTCACGGTTGGGAAGACTTAATGGCAAGCGAAATGTAAGTAAATGCTTTGCTTTTTCTTTTCATTTCCGTACTACTCCTTTCCCCCCTATTTTTAAAACAATGGAGGGGCCTTTTTGCTTACGATGGTTTTCTAATTTTCCAAATGGATCTGCATAGATACTTTTTTTTTTTTCTAGGCATGCTGATAGATGCCATTTACTCTAATTTCCCTCTCTTGCAGTTGAAATTTTTAGAAAATATCCTATTCCCCAGTTACTTAAAACAATTGTGCTTTATGCTTGTGGAAGATGTGACATCTTGTATAATTAAACAAGAATATAAAGTGCAAAACATGGTTCATATTTTTGCCTTGAAATTGGAGCTACTTGTGTGAAACTCAGCTCTGGGGAAGGTTATGATGAGCATGGGATTTCTTTCTCCTGTTATAATTGTTGATTCATGAAGAATACGTTTGAATTTCTTCCTCGTCTTTGATTGCAACAAACCTTTTTGTCATTGTTTTTTTCATTTTGAACTTAACAAATTCTGGTCCTTGTATTGCTTCTTTTTCTTTTTCTTTTTCTTTTTTTATAATTTATTAGTTATTATTTGTTTATATTATCGGAGTTTGTTGTTTTGTATCATTGAAGCTAGCAGTCTTGTGCAACTCCTCCAAGATTCTTTTTCTTTTTTCCCCTCCTCTAATTGTTGGGAATATCAGTTCCTTTAATCTTCACAATGCAGCAGAATTTCATCAATCATGGTCTCTCTCACTCTATACCTCTCTCTCAAGCACTTAGTAGTTCAATGGACCAAATCCTAGAGTAATTGAAGATAGACATACCCCAACCCCATTTCACTAAAAATATTTGGGAATTACTTTTGCAAAATGAAATTAAAATTCCGTACAACTAGTTTATGAATCATTGTTCAATCAATTTTTTTTTTTTCTTCTTTTTTTGGGTGCCCTTGGCATCATATTAACATGATCAAAGTTCTTGACTCTGACAGAGAATTGGAGATCTCACTTTAAGGCACCAATTGGAAGATGTGGACTCACTATCTGAGGAACTGATTGATAAGACTGTGAATACATTTTTGGAGCAAGTAAAAGATGGCAGTTGGACATCTGGAAAGTGGCCTCAAACATGTGCCGACTACTCAATGTCAAAGCTTGCCGTTAATGCTTACACCAGGCTAATGGCGAAGATGCTTTCAGATCGACCAGAAGGGCAAAAGATATATATAAATTGCTATTGCCCGGGCTGGGTGAAGACTGCCATGACTGGTTGGGCAGGGCATACTTCACCAGAGGACGGGGCTGACACAGGAGTTTGGCTTGCCTTGCTTCCAGACCCTGACCAGTTAGTGACAGGAAAATTTTTCAGTGAGAGACGTGAGATAAGTTTTTAGGAATGTTTTCCAGTTTCAGCTTCAGCTTCAGCTTCCTTTTTTTCAGTGAGATCGGATTCTACAAGAACGATGAGAACTGGTGCAAAGAAAGCTCTATTCTGAATTGGCTTTTGCAATTGAACTTTTTTAGAAGAGAGTATGCAACTGCCATTGCATTCGTTGCCATCTCTAGACTCTTAGGAAAGTTTGAGACAAATACTGAATGAGGGAGTTAAGGGAATCTCTAATTTCACTAGAATCCCGGTCTTCTGAAAATTGGGTTGTGCGAATTCTACCGCCACCCAAACTTTGTACCCATGAGGAGTTAGTAAGCATGGGCAATGAATGGAAGAGCAGTATTTGGTGTATCTAGTCATTAATTTACACATTTCTGATACTAGAAATTTTGCTTTTGACATTTTTTGTTATTGGATTTAGTGGGAGTTCTATCATGAAGACTTTTGTGATGTCCCCAAGTTTGATTAACAATAATTATTACCCAAAGTTTGATTAGATATCATGAAGACTTTTGTGATGTCCCCAAGTTTGATTAGCAATATACCCAAAGTTTGATTAGACAATTTTTTTCCTTTGTGTATAGACTCACACACGCGCACACAACAATTGGGAGTAATTTGTCTGGATCATTTCTTGCCATTTCTTTCGAAAATTTGGAAGATAAAGATATAATTCTCATTGAAATAGAACATTTGCAAGGCTTACAGAAGTATTGAAGCTATGTCTTGTTCATCTAATTTCTCATCTTTGGAATGAGAAAAGTAGGACTTTGATTACAAATGCAATTGCAAATGATTTGAAGAAAATGAATATGAAAATGATTTGCGTTTTTAAAGTTTCTCAATTTTTGTTTTATGGAGTACAATAAATGAAAACAATTCCAAACACACCTGTCGTTCTTTTCCAAAAGTCATTTTTCAAATTTGGAATAGAAAACTTGCATTTCTGGCACCTAACTGCACAATGTGCCCTTTATGATCATAGCATAAAACCACTGGATTGCGTCTTCTTTTCAAATACTCAATTGGAGAGGCATTCAGGTTGGTTGAGTATGATCCCTAACGTTCACCTCCATTTCAATTGAATCGTACATCTTATAAGTTATTAGGGTGTTTGGTGTGGACTATTATAGGGTTAAAATTGATAATCAGAAAGTTATGAGTAGAAGCACCCCTTCTCCAGCTTCTAAATAATCGATTTTTCTCAGCTTATTTAAGTTATTTCTGCCTAAAAGATTATAAGCAAAAATTGTACCAAATAATCTGACACCTATTCTCAAATTAAAATAAGTTATGTAGGAGAGGGTTCAAGAAAGGAGTTGGAAAATTCGAAGATCTTCGAAGATCCTTGAAGAACAATTTCGAATTCTCTAGAATATGATGAGAGGCTTAGATTCTTCAATAATCTCAACTTAGGAACACGACAACAAAGGAGATGATGGAGATAAGAGATTGGGTTAGCCCCTCTTACAAGTTATAATCACTCCTTATAATTCACACCAAACACCCCCATTGTTTGTTCACCATACAGGAAAAAAATATCAATTTGATTTCATTCACATAATTTAAAAATATTTGATTTTTATAATTGAATCCATAAAGCCCTCGTTTGTCATCTAAGTTTTTGCGGACTCAAATAATCACAAAAGGCAAAATATGTTACAAAACTAATAAGATAAAATATTACATTCAAACCATAATCATTTCATTTTTCCTCTTATAAAACTCAAAAAAACCAAATAACTTAACTCAAACAAAGTTTTTTAACCCCAAATTAAAATAATTAAAAAATCAAAAACCTAAAAAATCAATCCACATTTCAGACAAAGCCTAACTACAGAGAATTCATATTAAAAATTAGGGCTCAGTATCAAATAATTTGAAGTGATACCCAATACATGTGAAAAAGTACAAATTATCACAAAAGTCCAATACAGTAAGGTCATGTTTGATTCACAAGACTAATTGTGAAGTATTAATAATCCTATTAAATTAGTGTGGTATTCACTATCCCATTGGATTAATATCCATTGGATTAATAATCCCACCCCTACCCCATTACTAATAATCTTACAAATTTGTTGGATTAATTATCCATTGGATTAATAATCCTAAACTAAAATGTTAAAACAAACATAGAATAATTGGGCACACGGATTAATAATCCCAATCCCATATTCTAATCCACCCAATCAAACATGCCATAAATGACCACAAAAGTCCAATACAGTAAATGACCAAAATGGTATAGCGTAACCGTAATGTTTTGTTTATGAGAGGACCAAGGTGATATGTCATGTAAGCTTTACGTAGAATTGTTAGTAAGTTTATATAAGTAACTGTAGCGTTACTAATGCCATAATTTATGAATTTATTCCTCAATTTTCAAAGTATATGAGCGTTTAATCTTTATTTTTTCAAAATAGTTACTCTGGCTAATTTTTATATTTACACATAAATCAATTATAAAATCAAAAATAACCCTAATATATGATTTTTGTTCAATTTTGTGATTAGTTTAAATATTTTTAGATTTTATTTCTTTATTTGAACTTGTGTAACAATTTGAAAAATTAAAAAAAAAGAAAATAGAAAGGGAAAAGAAATAAATTATATATTTTATTAACAAATTTTTATTTTTCTTGGAGCCACATGAATCCACAAATAGAACGCCGCGTTGCACGTTTAAAAAAGGCCCACGACTCACAGTCGCACCAAATCACGAGCGCCATACAAACACTCCAGGAACTCTGTTCTCCTGTGGCTGCGGCAAAATCATTCATCAAAAATGGCGAATTTGAGAAGAGCTCTGCTCAACATCTCTCGAATCCTCAGATTACGGCCTTCTGTGAATCACAACGTCAACCCGCCAATTCAATCCGCGTCTCTCTACAGGTACAACTTAACTCTCTCTCTCTCTCTCTCTCTCTCTCTCTCTATGTCTATTGCATATTCAAATACATGTGTATGATGAATATATAACTATGCATTTTTGTTTGTCTGTTTGTTTTCATTTTGGTTCAGGCCTTTAGTTGGTTCGTTTTCTCGTTTTTGTTCTTCTAATGAATCGGTAGACATTGATCTCTCCAACGAAGAAAGCAAAAGGCGCTTATTTAACAGGTTCCTTGTGTAATTCAATTTCAATTTCTCAACAAATTCAAAAAAGGATCAGAATTTTGGGATGAATCTCCAATCATGACTTAAATTTTTACTCAAATTTGAGTAAAAACTTCATTTGGTATGAAGTACTGCAATAGCAAACACCAATTTTTACTCATATTCGTTTTAAAAATTTCTATCGTATCCAAAGAAATGTAATTCAATAAATAAATGATGCAAATATAGTCTTTGGAGTTTGGACATTTGAGTCAAGATTTGAGTTTCCCGGGTAAAAATTTAAGTAAAATTTAATTTTGTCTGAGTTTAAGTAAGGAGTGGAGAAGGATTTGGGTTTTTTTTTTTAACTTGAATTTAAGTTTGAGTCAACATTTGGGTAAGGATTGGAGATGCCAGTTTTACTAATGAAGTATTCAATTGATGATGGTCTTTTTTGTACCGATATATGTGTGTGTAGGCTGTTATATAGGAGCAAGCAAAGAGGGTTTCTTGAGCTGGACTTGATTCTGGGGAAATGGGTGGAGGAGCATATCCATTCTATGGATCAAAATGGGATTAAATCCCTTGTTGATGTTCTTGACCTGGTAATTTTATTCTTCACATACTCTGTTATTATGTCTGGTTTTGGGTTATTGCCCTTCAAGTCTTTGTCAAGCATGCGTAGATGTATAGTTGAATTGAAAAGCTAGATACCCTAAAAAAATACCTGTAAAGTGTCTCGATCCAAAAAATGAATGAATTGTGAGATGTAAATTCAAATTTGGCGTGTTATGGGTTGTATCCAGAATAAATGTGGTCTACACATTTTACTTTTGGGTAATTTTCGGGTACTTATCCTCTGGGTGCATAGTATTGTTGAAAGTTGAGGTGCCAATTGGGTGCCATTAATCTGAATTTACTTTTTTTTTTTCTTTTCTTTTTCTCGTTTATGTTTGAGAACTACAGCTTTAAGTGGCTTACATCTGCTTACAATGGGGTGCTTGGAATCGTCATGATAGAGTTACTTCTCTTCTGTTGGGCTAATTTTTTGGTGGTCTCATATTTTATTTCTACACATAGGTTAATAAGCCTGCTAGAATATTCAAATATAATCATGATATAGAAGAATTAGTCTGCAATAGGGTGGTACTTGCAGTTTTTGTGACCTTGAGCTCTGTGTGGGATCTTTTGAGCTAGAACTCAAGTGTTAACTGTTAAGATGTTTAGCCTTTTTTGTTGCATTGCCCTCTGTATATATTGTATGTTTTGATATGTCTGATTGTTTCCTATGTATAGCTTTACTTTAGTATTTAGCAAACACCACGACCTGTTACTTAGCTTGGTATTGAATCCAACTTGTAGATATTTTATTCTCTTTCTTATCCAGAACACTCTTGGGTGCCAAAATGAACGAAGAATTGCTCAAATAAAGTCTTCATTTAACAATCTTTTGTGACATTTCTATATTAGAATCGTTATTTTGTGGTTAAGAGTGAGCATATTGTTAAAGCTACGTTCTTGTCAAGATATAATTATTGTTCCGACTAGGATGGGACCACTCAACATATGAATTCTAAAGAAATAATAATTAAAAAACAAGAAAACTACCAAGACAAAAGAAGTAATTGTTACCTATGTTATATATATGGACTCTTCAAATAAATCAAATACCCATGTCAGACCCCCGCGTTGACTCTTGGACAATGGTATGGTATATGTGTTTGATACTTTCCATCGGACACTTGTATATTTAACTTTAACATTATCATTATATATATATATATTGTTGTATAATTGCTATAAAATGAGTTGAATATTTTTTTGACAATGCATGTTATGTATAACATCATTTTATCTCATATAATAGATTAAATTTAAAGATATGACCCTTTTTTTTTTGCAGTCCACATGCCCTTAAATTCTAAGTTTGATAGGTCTAGCCTATAGATATGCACCCGCACCCGACACCCACCTGGATTGTTACTTTTGTAATTATATATATAAGGAGAATTTATTCTGGATATGTTTAACAATTTAAGTGGAAATGTAATGTGGATATATAAGATATATATTACAACCAAGCAATTAAAATATTTCTTGTAACATATTTATATATAATGGGGGTAAGGTTGTGTATATGTTGCCCTCCCTAGACTCCGCTTCATGCACTAGGTCACTTTTTTAAATATTTATATATATAATACTTAAATATTCTCCCTAGGCGTTCCCAACCTTGGACTCTTTTGCGCTTGTCACTCCCCACTAATAAGCAGACTTCGACTAGGAAGCATAGATATGGATACGAGATATGGATACGACACGATACAGATACGGCGATACGACAAGACCTAAAAAAATAGGATACCGGTACAGTTAGAATACGTTTGTGAAAAATATAATTTTTAAAATTATTAATAGTGAGTTACACATAAGCCAAAGAACGTTGAGAAATCACAATGTAATTTTATAATGCAAAATACTAACCTTTAAGAATTTTGTATTAATTTAAGCTAATAACTTGTTTACTTTTTAAATTTTTAATAGATCTTGCAAATATTTCATTTCAATAGTAAGTTTAATATATTTATATTATAACAATAGAACAATTCACAACTTATCTCTATGCTTTTTCCTTTGACACTAGTGAAAAATATTATATTCAAGTTTACTTGCTTATTTATTTATTGATATTTAATTTTACCATTGTTATATTCTCTTATTAATTCTTACATTCTATATAGTTATAGGGGGCATGCATGAAATAATTAGGATACATCAATTTGATAAATTCTATTATTTAACTCACTATACTCTTCTTATCGAAAAACTTAACAAAGTATTAAAAAAATATTCTTATATTTATACTTGCAATTATATTATATTATATTACTATGCAAGAAATGTTACAATTTTAATTTCATAAAACAAGTAAACATGACTTGGAGTATCTGATATTTCAAAATTAAGTATCCGATTCTCCAAAATTAATGAAAAAATAATTAAGAAGTATCCGATACTTTTAATAAGTATCCGATACGTATCCGCGAGTACCCAAGGAATATCGGTATCCGATACGGATACGTCATTCTATTTGAAGTATCCGTGCTTCATAGGACTTTGATTTAGAGTAAATTAAAAATGGATTGTTGACCTTAGATGCATTTATGGAAGAATTTTATGGATGCATGTCAGTTAAAGGGTTAAAAGGAGGAGGGGAAAAAAAAAAAAAGGAGAAAAAAAGAGGAAAAAGAGTAAGTGTGGCCATTGAGATGAATGGAGGGCTATCAAATAAATGCATAGAGGTTGACACCTTAGTTCAAAAGAAGTTGGAAGCAGTGAGGCCATTTGGATGGATGGAGGGGACCATATTGAGTAAAATGTGTAGAACTGGACACCTTCTGAAAAGAATAGTCCAGATAGTAGGCTGTAATTTAGCACAAGAAATAGTGCATGATTGTAGGTTTGAGCTGGTTTGATATTTCATATTCACTCTCTAGTTAAAAGCCCTTTGTGTTGGGAAACCTTGCCCTGGTGATTTTTGAAAGAAATTTGAAGATATTGGAATGCCACTGTTTCTTTTTCTGCTCACTTGTTTAGGCATATTAATTATTACAGTTCAAAACATATTCAAATTAGGGCAACCCTTTAGAAGTTTCTTTTTGCCCAACTTTTCATATTTGATAGAACATAGAAACCATATGCATACTTGGAGTCAATGCTTATTGAGTTAGTTTATTCAAACTACCATTCAGAGTGAGGACAATTTGTTTTGCTATTCCTTCATTTCTGCTTTGTCAGAAGTTCATTTTTTCTGCTGACTTACATGATTTAGACTTAAAATAGCATATATATATATATATATATCCAATCAGTAAATTATGCCCAAGATACACTGATGCCCTGAAGACACTTGAACCCTATAAACTGCCTGATGTCGACATGCCATGGTATCCCATGCGGAACCTGCCGGATTGTATACAGGTTCCTGTGGCTATGAAATGTAGTGGTGGCTCTCTTCCAAACTTAGCCAAATTCTTCCTATATATCAATGCCTCTATATTAAGCTTTGTTGGACTGTACTTTATTAATATTTACTGTCATTTTTGGATTATAACCTTGAGGTAGTGGCTATGAAGAACAAACATGGGACATGGCAATTTTCCAAAAAAAACAAGATACAAGCATGGTGGGGATACATCAAAATAATATTTGTTACTATATTTTTAATTACTATATTACATCCACAAATAATTAAAAATAATAAAAAACTGGCACTAATTTAACATGAAAAATCACTCAATCTATAATTTATAATTTTAAGGTAAATTACAAATGCATCTCTTGAGGTTTACTTAAAATACAAATTGTTCCTTGTACTTTTAAAAATTACATATAGCTCTTTGTCAAAATTTGTCATTTAATGGAGTTAATAGAAGAAATAAAATTCCTAACTATCTCGTATACAACAATAAAATTACCACAACTGTTAATTGAAATATATTTATATAAAATTATTAAAAGCTATTAATTGACTTAATAGTTAATTAATGAAAAGGGTCATTTGTTATGCAATTAGAAGTTTTAAGGGGCGATATATAATTTTTAGAATCACACGGGGCAATTAGTATTTTAAGCAAATCTCAGGGGCGTTTTTGTTATTTACCCTAAATTTTATTCAATATATAAGAAATATTATTTTATCAATCATGAACCATTTTATTAGAGTTGTTTGCCTTTATATTGACATTAGAATTGTGGGTGTGTTACTAGCGCAAGTAGGAGAAGAAAAGTTTTCCTACAGCCATCCAAAAAAAAAAAAAAGAAAAGAAAAAAGAAAAAAGAGAGAGAGAGCAATTTCAACAATTAAACATTAGTTTAGAATGACAATTCAACAATTTTAGCATTCAAATACTAATTCAGAAATTAAGGGAGAGAATGCTACTTATTTTTATTATTTGAAGAGTAGGAGAGATTATACTACATAATAGTGATGATAAATACAGACAACATGTTTACTTTGTGGTGATTAGGAATTTATGAGACTCTTTTAGAGTTCATGGCAAGATAACCGTGTCTTGGGATGTGTCGGAAGGCAAGACACGTGTCCCGGGCAAAAAAAAAAAATTAAATGGGACACGTCACTTGGTGCGTCTGACAACGTGTTTGAGGCGTATCCGACATGTGTTGGACATGGCTACGGCAACTAAGTTGAAGTGTCCTGTTCTTCATAGAGTTGTGGGTTCGAACTTAAGGACAACTACTTTGTGCATCATCCCATCCTACAAACTAGGTGTGCTTTTTTTTTTTCCCCCTTAAAACAAAAGGAAGGTCTATGACATTCAAATATCCATTGGGAACATTGCTTTGCTTATCCTCTTGGTCAATTAACTTTAACACTGCAGTTGATTGCATTCTTGTTGAATCATATTGCCTTCATATCTTATCTGCAGGAAAACCCAGATTTGTGGAAGTGGCTCACTAGCCAGGAGCAGCCCCCTGAGATAATTACCACAAATCCTGTAAGACAAGATCTTATAAAATATAAATAAATACCTGCAATTTTCTTTTAACTTTTTTATTGCATTTTCCTACCTCTTCTCTGTATTGTATGTTCATACAAGTTACTTTGCAATATAGGTTTTCTCTGCATTACATGAGAAGGTTATGAACAGCCTTGACAGCTATGCTGCTCCTGAGACGAGGGCAATACCTGGACAACAATGGGTAAGAGGATGGGATGATTTTAAGAAAGGAAAAGACAGCCCTATATCTGGGAATCAGTAAGCCATACCACTGCCTCGATGCTGGAACATGTAGTGAGTTATGTTCCCCTGTAGCTAATAATAAAGAGTGTCATTTGTGATTATATCTTATTGTCCTTGTAGTTCAGTCATCAGTGGTGATCCTAATATAAATAAGAGCTAGCTATGGTGAAGCCAAGAGAAGTGACATTGTTTATTGTATGAAATGTGGTTGTGCTTCAAATGCCAGATCTCAACCTTGAAAAGTTAAATCCCTTCTTTCTTATATACATATGAGTTTCAATGTTGGATTGAAATTTTTTTTTTAAAATCTATTATTTTATCTTGATTTGATGCTTGAATTTTCTAATTTTTACTTTCTGCACTCTCCCAGGTTTTTTGGGATTTTGAATCAGAACATGTATATTCATAAAAAATTAGAACTTTTTAGGTAATTAGATAAATGGTAAACAGAAAATAAAATTGATGAATTTTCATATAGCATGTTGTGATAATGGTATTGTTGTTCTTCAAACAGGTTCAAGATGAGTACCATTTCTGAAACCATAGCTCTTGTGGTCAATTGAATTTTGATTTGACAGGATTAAAATGCATTATATCATATTCTAAGAAAAATATAGTGGAGGGATTACAAGGAAAAACTTGATTTTTATTATTTAAAGTAGTGAGACTTTATATTTTTTGTTAATTTTGGGAGACAACTTGATAAGTATCAAGCGATAAATAGTGTGGAAAAATGTTCTAAAACCATTAAATAATCACTTGATTGCTAGAGTGACATGGTTTAGCTTTGATGTTGAAATCTTAAGTTAAGACTTTTTTTAGGATATCTTAAGTTAATATTTTGAGAATTTGTTTTTAGTTTTTAAGTTCACTTAATTTAGATACATTTAAGAAGTAAATATTTGTGATTTTGTTTTAAAAAGACAATATATAGATATATATATATATATATATATAAATTTAGTACAGTTTAGTATTTTTTGTATTTATGTTAGTTTTAAGAGTATTTACATTAGCTGCATTTAAAAAAAAATAATAATAAAACTGCCTATAATATTAAAAAAAAAATACTAAAAATAAACATAAAAAATTAAAATCTGTTTTTAAAAATTCCAAACCAATGATGATTGTAGTCTTAATTTTTGTTACATATATCAAATATTCTGTTTTGTTCTATATATATATATATATATATTCGTGTGGGTAGATTTGAAAGTCCCTGCCTCCCTTGTGGGTTGATGCGAGATTTTCGAATTTTAATATGTCAGAATCGACAATAAAATAAACATAAGTCCTGTTTGGTAGAGCTGTGGGAAAATACTTATAGCTTATGCCTAAACAGCTTATAGCTTATAACTATGAATATATTTCTGACTTATTCTTAAAGCATCTCCTGCCCCACTCAAAGAATAAGTTGATTTGCTAAACCAAACACATCAAAATAGCTTAAATTAAGCTAAAAACTGAAATAAACTGATTATAATTTCTGCCAAACAGACACATAGACATCTTCAAAGGAAATTATCTGAAAGCAGTGGATGTTATCACCCCATGGAAGATAAAATACAACCTCAAGCCTCTCTCTCTCTTCATCTTTTGTCCTGTGATCCATCATTATTATTATTATTGGTAATCATATTGGCTAACAACAAAGAAGAAGAACAACCACCGCCATGGCCTCTGCAACTACCAAGGCCATCTCATTCTCTGTCCTCATTTTACTCTCTCTCTGTTTCCCTTCAACCCCATCAAAACCCACAGACACAGACCCAATTCCAACACCATGGCCTTACCAATTCCACTCCATACTCTTCATGAATCGCAGTGGAACACTCCAGAAGACAGACCTCTGGTACGACTGGCCTAATGGCCGCAACTTCAACATCATCCAGAACCAGCTTGGCAAGCTCACCTACGACCTCGAATGGAACAACGGCACTTCCTATATCTACACCTTGGATGATTCGGACCCAGAATGTCAGGTTTTGCATTTTGAGGTCGGACTTCTGAGGCCAAATTGGCTCGATGGCGCGGAGTACCTGGGACAGCGCTACATGGATGGGTTTCTCTGCAATGTGTGGACTAAGGTTGAGTTTGTTTGGTACTATGAGGATGTTGCTACTAAACGTCCTGTTTTTTGGGTCTTCTATTCAGGTTCGAAGGAGAATTATTTTTAATGTATATTTATATATATATATATACGTTTTTTCCAGGTTTGGGTACTATGTCAATTGTTTATTTTTTGTTTGGCTAAATTATGCTCACTGATTTAGAGAAAACATAATAAATTTTACAATTTTGATTTAATTATATTAAGATCTCTTAAGACTAGATTCACATAATTTTATCTTTATTTTCATCAATAATTCGTTACTCATATAGATGAGAAAATAATAATATCATATTTTTTGCAGTATATATTTTTTTAGTAATATATATTATTATGATGTTATACTATTTGTGTCACTTTAACATATTATTATATTAAAATTGTGAGGTTACTTGCATTTTCTTTATATCTGTCAGTCTAATTTACCACCTTGTTTTGTTTTGTGAGAAAATGGGATTGGTTGTTGCTGACATACCACATTTAGGTCAAGTTTGGGAAGACTAAATAAGTGCACTTTTTGACTTTTTATGAAATATGGGTTGAGTTTGAAGTGATGTGATTTAAATAGGATAGTGACTTTTTGACTTTTTAAATTTTTTAAGAGTCGCCAAACTTGACCTTAGTTTGTAAAGTACTGTAAAACGAATTCACCTGTGTGCACCTTTGTTAGAAGTTTATTTCAGATCAACTGTAACATAAACAAATCAAATTTAAATATATTTTTAAATTTATTAAAATTCTGAATCCTGTTTTAGGTTGACTGTAACATAAATAAGTCAAATTTAAATATCCAGTTCTCCTCCTCCTTCTCCTCCTCCTCCTCCTTCTTCTTCCCCCTAATTTCGAGCCAAATTCGAGCCCCTATATTCGGGCTCTGTACCATTACTGTTTCTTTATATCTGTCAGTCTAATTTACCTTCTTGTTTTGTGAGAAAATGGGATTGGTTGTTGCTGACATACCACATTTAGTTTATAAAGTACTGTAAAACGAATTCACCTGTGTGCACCTTTGTTAAAAGTTTATTTCAGATTAACTGTAACATAAACAAATCAAATTTAAATATATTTTTAAATTTATTAAAATTCTGAATCCTGTTTTAGGTTGACTGTAACATAAATAAGTCAAATTTAAATATATTTTAGAATTTATTAAAATTCTGAATCAAATTTAAATTATCTATTACATAATGTACATAATAAAATAAAAAATTACTTAACTTCAACTTGTTAACATTTCAATTAATTTGTTTTGAGATTTACTTTAAAAATAAAAATTTAAACAAAATATTAGTTTGTTCGACACTACTCAACTCGTTGCAGTCCTAGTTTCATTATATATCAAATAAAATTTAAACAATTTATTACTTTGTTTGACTCGACTTGACTCATTTATAACTCTAGTACTACGTTAATATAATGATAATGATAAATGGGTAAAGACTTACATGAATAATTATGTATATAAGGATGGTCGATTTTATACTTTCACAAAACAAATTTTTTAATCTCACTCATGTGTCAATTTTTCATGACCATCCTGTTTTTGCTTTGTGATTTGAAGGCATAGTTTTGTTTTGGGAGGGAAATTTGGTATTGCTAATTTGCTACTGGTGACTGATGTATTGAAGTCTTCATTTCTTTTTCTTTTATTTGCTTTTTCTTTTCTTTTCTCTTCTCTGCAGGATATAGTGCGCATGTGATGACATTTGAGGTGGGAAGGGTGCTTGAAGATGCTAAATGGCAAGCCCCTGTGTACTGTTTCAATGAGGACAAGAGCTCCCTTATTGAATCAATAGCTAGTGCTAGGACTGCTCCGATCGGAGGTTTTAGGGAGCTCCGAATGTAATTAACTTTTAGGATTTTTATGGTGTTACCTTCTTTTCACTTCTTTAAACACTTGGCTAGTCAAGAATCAATAACTTGGTCTTCCTTTACTTGTTAGTGGTTTGTGTTTTGTTGGTGCATGAAAAATGTGAGTTTTGCATTATGGGTTGGTTTGGGAATTGATTTTTTTCTTACTTAAGAAAAGAAGTGTAAAAAAATATAGAGAATAGATTGATTTTTTGGCTTTGGGTATATTTTAGGCAATTGCCAAACATGGCAACTTTGACTTGCTCCATGTAGTTTTTATGCTTGAAGACAAGTTGTTCCACATAATTACAAAAAGGGCAAATTATATTCACCTTAACCTTTGGAAAGAATACAAGCAATAACGGTGGTGCTATATGCATATCCAACACCATTATCATCATTATCATCATTTCAATTTCATAAAATCCAACATCATTTTTATTTCCTTTTTACAAAATCAAATATTCACATTTTAAGGCAAAACCTCATTTTCTTTATAATTCAATTCCAAGGATAAAAATCTACCATTTTACCACAACTCCACCACATTTACAATTCCACAACCATTTTCAAGAATTCATTTGAAAACCCCTCTTTTGATTTCAAAACCAAAACCCTAGATTTTATCCAAAAAATTCTCAAATCACAATATTGTTTAGAAAAGCAAATAGCCAAGTTAAAAACCATACAAAAATGTGGAGAAATCCCTACCTCAAAGCTAAAAGACAAGGGTCAGAGAGAGAAGAAGCTTGGACGAAGCCAAAAATCAACTTTGCTCCAATCAAGAGGAAGCTCTAGGCAAGTGTTACCCTTTTTCCCAAAGGACAATAGTGTAGAAATCAACGGATCAATGTGCATTTGAGGTTTTAGCGATGGTTTCTAGAGAAAGATAAAGGAGATCTAGCTTTGGAATGTTTAGATAGAGAGAGAGAGAGAGAGAGGTGAGAAAATGACTAAAAAATTATATTTCTCAGACTGATATATGCATAGATCGCCCGAGCACAGAAATGGTCGCTTGAGCGACCAGACACAAATGAAGACACCACTTGAGCGCAAGAATGGTCGCTGGAGTGCACAATGCACCCCTCCCAGTAGTTCAGACCTGTAAAAGTTTGCTTAAGCGCAAGAAACGTCACTCAAGCACATATATCAAACTTTTAGTAGTTTTGCAGACTGTAAAAGATCGCTCAAACACAAAAAGTTTCGCTCGAGCGAACAAGCAAAATTCTGAGCAAAGACTCTTTTGAAAAACAAACTCCCAACTTGTTTCAAACGCAACCACAATAGTCACATAACCCAATTCAATACGGAATAAGATGTACAAGGACATAAACAACCATCAAGACAAATAATCCTGGATCCAAAACAACAAACGGTCAAGTCTAAACTAGAATCGTTATAGCAACTGAGTGAATTAATTGCAAAAAAAAGAAGTGAAACAAAGTCACTATAAACATCTCAAATTTCTTGTTAAAAAAAAAAAATCTTCAATTTGAATAATTACAAATTACCACTAAAATATAGTAATAAATTAATAGAGACAATTACCTCAGCGGTGACAGGATGAGCTTAGCACCCGAATCAACAGCGTCAAAATTTCGCAAAACAGCTTAACCAAATCAGATCTCCAAAGTCACCCTCAGACCTAAGAACAAAGTGTTAGAAGTAAGGTCTTTGATCGAAGAGACTCTTAGATAAAAATACACAGTTTTAGAGCAACAAGGCACATAATAATTTAAATTTCTCAGAAACCACTTGATATGACTTCAAGTCTACAAAGTAATAACAAAATTTCAAGTAAATACACACACATACATAATATTAGACCATATAATTATAATTGTGTATGTAGTTTGCAGGTGGTGAATTCTTCAGAATGATATTTCTCACTTCCAATGAAGATGCAAGATTAAAGTATAAAAGAATAAGCAACTTTAGTTCTACACTTGCAGCACAACATTCGAAAAGGAAACTTCGAGCTAGCAACCATGGGGACAAAAACCATCTTCGGTTCACCTAGCTTCTTTCAATGAGCCCAGGCTCACTCGATCCTTGACTCGCCACTCAAGTACTAACTCGGAGTACCCAAACCACAATCAGCGAGATCTTATACGGGAAGTGAAGAGAGAGAAGGTGAGAAGGTGGTGGCTATGAATGATCTGATCTATGAGAGGTGAAAATTGTTGGTGAAGAGAGAGAAAGTTAGCAAGACAAAAATCAATGACCACCAAAACCACCATTGTAGATCATCTCGCATTACCTCCATTGCAGGTCATCGTTGCCAAGTACTTTCGGGCGACGGTGGAGTCCGTGGTTGCCACCGCACTTGCTCCGGTTGAACCTAGTCGAGTCAGGAAAAAAAGAGATGAGGAGTGAGAGAGAGACAAATACAGAGAAAGAGAAGTAGAAGATAGAGGACTTCAACAACAGGGATGCTTTGAAAGAGGGCTTCGCAGATCGGCAATGGCGCCGCTGCGGGGGTGGCAGCGAAGCGGCTGTTGACTAAGGTAAAGGAACCTCCGATGAAAATATGTGGAAAAAAGTTTATTTGAAAATTAATTTTTTCAAACAAACATCACCTGATTACACAATCTAAAATATCTCAATCTAAGCATGCTATTGTTAGTACCTCATCAAGCGATCCAAGTGTCTCCTATCCAAAGTGATTCACCTTGCACCCCCTTACTTTTTCTTTTATGTGTATTTTTCTACAGACCTTAGGGATCCTTAGGGATCTCTATCTTTTAGTTGTGGGGATAAAATAAAAGATGTATATTTTATCTTGAATTTGCAGGATACAACTTATTCAATTTTTCATTTAATTATATTTTAAATAGATAATATAGAACTTCCACTAATTGTAATAATGTCCATCAACACATTACAATTAAACCCCTAAAAGTAGAGAATTACAAGTGAGGCCCTTTCTTACAATTGGTTACAAATTTCCTTCCACCAAACTATATTCCACACGAGCTATTAGGTATGGATAAATTTATCACTATCAAAACCTTAGCTCATGTAGGTGAATTCTAAATTTTTCCTTCTTCTAATTGGACCCCAAAAACATTTTTCAAAAATATACTTTTATAATTATACATATACAAATAAAATATTTTTATGAAAAAGTTACCGGCCGGTGTAGACACCCCATTTTTGACCGCCCTTAAGACTTGGGCGTTACTGATGGTTTACTTGGTGTTGAAAGCTGTGCAGTGCAAAGGTTCGGTTTCTTCGGCGAAAGGAAAGTCAAATCCCAACCTTACACCTCATTTTGGACCATAGCTATTTTGAATGGTTTTTAGACCTTAAAACCCTTTCTTTCAAAACATTTTTTGAAAAAAAGTTCCTACGATGCTCGGAGGCTCGCATTTCGTTAAATGTTGCGTTTTTCGATAAATCGAGCAAGGACAATGTGGAAATGAATGAAAGAGAGATGGAATCTCTGAAAAATCTTTCAAAACACCTTGTTTATGGGTTTGGAGTTGAATAAAATGAGAAAGGAGAGAAGAAAAATAGTTTGGAAGAAGTTCGGCATCAATCCAGTTGGATCGAAATTGCGCGGTTTCACCAAAACAGGCATAACTTTTTGCACAGTTGGAATTTTGATGCAAGGCTGGCGCCATTGGAAAGCTAACTTCTTGGGCTTCAATTTGGACACCTGGCCGACCACTTTTGGCCTTTCCAGACACTGGCCGACCACTTTCTCTTTCGGCAGACCAGGAAAAGTAGCTGGCCGACCACTTAACTGGTCGGCCACTTTCCAACACCTTTTTGAAGATATTTTGGGCCAGCTGGCACAGTTGGAGAGCACAAGAACCATCCTCCATACACATGTATGAAGGGATGGCCTTGAGCCTTAGCTTTTTCAAGAAGCTTATGCTTTTGCTCTCTATATGAGGGAGGCTCCTCCTCCCTCCTTTAGGTTCAGAAATTTGAGGGTTGAGAGTTATACATACATAGTTGTATCTATCTTCCCCTTTGCTTCATTTTTGTGCCTTAAAAGTGTAGTTTTGTCTTACTTTTTCACACAAACACACACTCAAACACCATCCTTTTGCTACTGAGGTGCTTAGGAGTTGTTCTTGGTGTTCTTGGGTTGGTTTAAGCATGGTAAACTTGTTGGAGTTGCAGCTTTGAAGAAGGTCTTCAAGGGTGAGTCACTAGCCCTTAAAACCCCCATTCTTGCTTAAGCTTTTAGCCCTTCTTGCATACATTTTAAAGCTTAACTCTTAACTATAAAAAGTTCTATTTTTGCATGCTTAAGAAGTTTGTTTAAGGTCACTTTTTCATTTGGGGTGGTTTACCCCTTCTTAGGCCTTGTTAGGCCGTGTTTTGAGCCATCCCTTTAGGCTCTTGTTGTAGCCTTTGCATGACCTTTTTACCACTAAAATCCAGAGGATTTTCAGTGGTGGAAAGGTGGTTTTAGTGTCCTAAATAGGAGAGGGCCATCCCCCCTCCTTGTATTTTGTTTACTTGCTTCACATGCCTCATGTTTGAGCATCTTTGTTAAGCTTATGCTGGCCATATCTTAGCTTGTATTTGTGGTTATTTTGCTGTGGCATACCACTATTTTTACCTGGTTTGGTCACTCCGTGCATGGTTTATTGGGCCTTTTGAGATCCTTGAGCGGATAGAAGATGCAGCTTATCGCTTGGCCTTGCTGCCACAGCTTTCTACGGTTCATAATGTGTTTCATATTTGTATGCTTCGAAAGTATGAGCTGGATCCATCGCACGTACTGGATTGGACCGACTTAGAGATAGATGAGGATGTCTCATACGAGGAGAGACCAGTGAAAGTCTTGGATACTCGAGACCAAGTCTTGCGAGGCAAGACAATTCCCTTAGTTAAGGTATTGTGGTGATATCACGGAGTTGAGGAAGCAACTTGGGAATGTAAGTTAGAAGTCTGTGAGAAGTATCATGACCTATTTGTTAATGTTTGAGCATGTAATGAAAATTTTGATATGTTGATTTACTATAAACATTGCGTATGTTTTGAAACTGTGAATTGTATATTCAGTATTGAGAACTTGTTTATCATATTAATGAGAATGAATGACCGGTGGATAGGTCATGGTACTGGAATCGATTAATTATCATTGTTGAAATTGGTGTAAGAGTGGTTTTAAAGTTTAAATTGTAATTTTGGGGACGAAATTCCTAAAAGTGGGGGAGATTATAGCGATTCTAGTCTTAGACCTGATCCATTTGATATTCTGG